AAACCGGGACACGTCGCGCCACAAGGAGGGCCAGAAGTAAGCCCGCTGCACCAGCTCGACAGATCTGTCCCGACCTACGTGACCAGCCCCATGCAGCTCTCTCACCAACTTCAAACGCAAACTACACTCCGGGATATACAATCGCAAGCCCCAAAAAGAAAACCATCGTGAAGAAGAAAATCCTCGAAAACACCCGTCGCGTGTAACAATGGGCCCGAAGAAAACATCATAGGCATAAAGATCACGTAGCATGTGGAACCCTACCACTGAGATACGCATATCTGATAGCAAAAGCAAAAGACGGCTAAGAGCATCGGGACACAATTAGAACTTCCCGAGCGGTGCTTTAACACGAAAGTAAATTGTTGCAAGGAAGCACTCCACGTGGCCTGGCATGCTCTAATGTTATCCTGGGAAGCAATATGGTGCAACGCCTCATGGTCAGAAAAAAGCACAAACTCACGATGAAAAAGATAGTGTCGCCAAAAACGAACGACCCGATAAACGACATAAAACTCGATGTCGTACGTGCTATAACGAATCCTAGGGCCTGAGATCTTCTCATTGAAATAAGCAATCGGGCGTGAATTTTGACTCAAGACTGCGTCGATGCCGGCCTGTGACGCGTCACATGAGAGCTCGAAGGGCCGCGAGAAGTCCGGCAACACCAAGACGGGAGCAGACGTGAGGCGTTGCTTGATCAGCTCAAACGCCGCGGTAGCCTGTGGGGTCCACACGAACGATTTTCCAGCCAAACAATCCTCGATGAGAGCCATAATAGAACTATAATGACAAATAAAGCGACGATAAAACGAAGCGAGCTCATAAAAGCTCTGCGCCTCTGTAACCGTCATAGGTGTCGGCCAGTCCCTAATTGTCGCGATCTTACTATCATCAACTTGAATGCCAACCGATGAAACAATAAACCCCAGAAAAAGGACCAAATCCACCAAGAAGGAGCACTTCTGCGGGGCCGCATAAAAAGACTCTGCGCGAAGAATCATCAGGACCTCACGCACGGGTGCCAAATGGTCATCCATGGTCTTGCTATAAATAAGTATGTCGTCGAAATAAACGAATACACACTTATCAATAAGATCCCTCAGCGTCTGGTTCATTACCCGCATAAAGGTGCTCGGTGCGTTGAACAATCCAAACGACATAACTAACCACTCGAAAAGGCCCTCCCGAACTTTAAAGGTCGTCTTCCACTCGTCACTTGGGCGAACACAAATTTGATGATAACCACTTTGCAAATCAAGCTTCGTGAAAAAGGTCGCTCCATGCAGCTGGTCCAAAAGATCGTCCAAATGTGGAATGGAAAAGTGGTAACGAACAGTGATCTTGTTGATCGCGTGGCTGTCCACACACATTCGCCAAGAGCTATCCTTCTTTGGGATCAACAAAGCCAGAAGGGGAAGGGGTTAGACTACACCGAACGACCCCCCACCGTAGTAACTCCTCCACTTGACACCGAAGCTCCTCATGCTCGGCTGGACTCATGCGGTAATGTGGTCGATTCGGCAGGGCTGCCCCGGGAACCAAATCAATGTGGTGTTGGATGTCCCGTAGAGGTGGCAAACCGGACGGTAGCTCGAGCGGAAATACATCTGAAAACTCAGCCAATAACGGAAGGATAGCTGCAGTTGGTGATTGCTCGGGCGGCGTGTCAGAGCCTATCAGCAAGAGAACAAACGTGGTACCCCGCATTTCATCCACAAAAGCTAACTGGGACAGAAATAAAACCGGAGAAGTCGACGACGGAGGCAAGGGTCGAGGTGGAGCCGAATGAAAGACAACCTTAACACCTTCAAAACTGAAAGTGTAAGTGTTAAGACGCCCATCGTGAGTAACGGCCTGATCGAACTGCCAAAGTCGACCCAATAGCAAATGAAAAGCATCCATAGGAACCATATCGCACCACACCCTATCACGGTAAGACGCCCCAATAGAGAAGGGGACGAGTATGCTGCGGTCAACCGTGACCAAATTGCCACGTCGAATCCACGCTAAGGTATACGGTCGCGGGTGTGGTTCGGTCGTCAACCTTAGTTTGTCAACAACCACCTGTGCAATCACATTCTCGCATGAGCCCGAGTTAATATAAACCTGCACACGCGGTCGCCCACCGTGCATGTAGACTCAAAGAGGTGATGGCGCTGGAGAGAATCAGCAGAATCCTCACGCGGGGTCAAGCACGCACAAGGAAGGACGAGAGTCGTCCCGATATCCCTGTGATGATGCTCCACAGGCTCAGAAACTTCCTCATCAAACACGAGAGGCCCATCATACAATATTTGGTCCTCCTGGTCATCCAAGCAGTCAACTAACATCGTCCGCCTGGCACCAGACCGAGGGCATGCCGACTGCCTATGGCCAGGCTCACCACAATAAAAACATCGGAAGTTGCCACCTTGCCCACGACCGAGTTAGGAGCCTACAGTCGCGGAGGAACTCCCTAGCCCCGATGTTCCAGCACGGCCCGTTGCTGCACCAGGCCCCGCCGCACCCGAGCTGCTAATGCCCGCGAGACCAGTCGGTGGTCAGCTCGCCGAAGACCCTGCCACCGTGCTGCCAGACGATGGTCCCATTCGCGCCGGAAAGAATATAGGAGGGTTCTGTCTGGTAAGCTGTTGTTCGGCTATTAATGCACGTTGGTGCGCATCAGAGAGGGTGTCCGGAATAAACATATCGACTGTATCCTAAATCGGTATGCGAAGCCCACTGATATATCGAGAAATGAGTTGATCCGTAGTTTCACGACTATCGACATGTGTGAGCAACTTATAGAACTCATCCGTATATTCATCAACTGAACGTGTTCCTTGTCGAAGGGTTTGAAATTTCTGATAAACGGTACGAACGTAATTGAAAGGTAAAAATTCTTCTTCCATATTTTTACGGAATTTAGCCCATGAAGTAATTTTCGATTTACCCAGTCGATGTCGCCGTCCCTCCAGTTGCGTGAACCAAGCCCCGGCCCGGCCACGTAACCGCGTCGCCACCAGCCCCACGCGACGATCATCCGGGACTCCCTTAAAGTCGAGAACCCTCTCCACAGTGGTAAGCCAATCGAGAAACTCAGCGGCGTCGAGCCTGCCTGAAAATTCTGGCACCTCCACCTTGAAACCGGAATCCCAGCGACTGTCACCACCATCCATTGCACGATGCGGTCCGCGCCCGTCGCCGTCCTGAAACGTTTGGTACAGACCGCCGTCATCGTCATCTCGCTGGCCCTGCCGTTAGCCGAAAGGGTTAACCTCCGACAGGGTGTCCTCGCCACTATCATAGTCGTGCGTCGGAGGTGGCGAACGGGTGCCCCGCCATGCCCTCTGCCGCCACGACCGCCGCGCCACCCACCGTCCCACGGCCAGCCGGGTCGCGGCCTGCTCTCCCGTCATCATGGTACGAATAGCCAAACGAATTTCTTCGATTCCCTCAGAAAGCCCTTCGACCGACAATCAACCCGATCAATTTGGAAGCCGAGATCATCCGTTCGTCGATCCAAATCCTCGAGATGGGCATCACGTCGGACGTCGTCGTTTCGTTTTGGCGGCATCTTGAATCGTTCTGGTCTGCTGATACCAACTGATGTAGATTGAAGCGTACGATGGGAAGAAGATGAACTCAAGAGATAAATTTTATTCAATCGAAAAAAACCAAGTTTCCCAAACAATGAAAACCCTCAATATATAGTCTCCTAACCTCTTTCCTTATTTTCCTAAATAAAGCATAATTATAAAATTCTCCTAATAAATAATTGGCATCAAATAAAAGAAAGTGAAATAGATAATATATGCAATAAAATATCTTTTAGACTCGGAGTCGATCGTAACTCGCCAAATAAGCCAATACGATCTCGTCGCCATCACAAATATAATTACTGACTTCGTAAAGTGGCAAGTAATTAAAATTCTTGTGGTGAAGACCAAATTTGGCCTAAATAGTAATCCTCCCTATATATTATTATCGAATGCGCTGAGCCTACGTGGCTGCTTCTGGTGCTTCGGAATCCTACTTGGCAAAGAATCATGCTTCGTAATTAGGTTTGGACAAATAATATTGATATATTAATAATTAATAAAATTTAGGTTTGGACATTCCATAAATATTATTTAGCTAACTTAGGTATTTTAATATCACTGTACTAATATAATCCTTTATTTCTTTGTAATTTTACATACTGAGGCACTACGTGACTAATATATCCTGACTTTTGATTTGTTTCCTTCAATTAGCTATTGAATTATAAATGTATTTTAAAAGTTGCTAACTTTGGTATTTCTTATCGGTTTTACATATATAATATATCAAATTTATGATCTTTTGATGATCTTCGATTTGACATCCATGTTGTATATATGAAATAAATAAATTAAATTTATCTTTATAATAATAAAAAATAATAATATTTATTAAATTCATTAGAAAAATAAAACTATTTCTCAATTGTTATATTTATGTTTAATGTAGTCATATGTTGTAAGTTTAAAAAATTATTATAATATAACACATTTAAGTTGCACAAATAAAAATTGTCATACTAAATATATAATAATATATATATTTTTAGAAAAGATATTTAAATTTTCAATTATTTTTTCTCATTAAATTTAGATTTTAAGAAAAATTAGCAAGCACTCGCGTAATACACGGGCATTGTACTTAGTAATAATAGTAATACCAAAAAAATCCAACGTTTGATCTGCTGATGTAATGTAATACAGACGTTGACCGTACAAATCTACACACACCCAGACAGCACCCTACGCCCATTTCACCCTCTGAGAGAGAGAGAGAGAGGTCTCCCCATAAAACCCAAGCCTAGCTCCAAACCTCACGCGCCCGCCGTTACAAAGCCTGCAATGGCCGAGCTCTTCTGGCTTCAGTAATGAAGGTTTTTAACAGTTGAAAGGACCGGCGCCGGCCAAATCCAGCCCCCTCAAAACCATCCGCCGCAGTTGGACACTCACGAGAGGTCAAGTTTCCCGCGCCGGAGAATGAAGGCTCCCGGCGCCGGAGTTCGGATGAGGAGGGAAGCTAGAGCCCCGCCCGCGAGACGGGGAAGCCGGCCCGAGACTCCTCTGCTGAGGTGGAGGTTCGATGAGGGCGGTGGCGAAAGTTTTCCGGCCGCGGAGGAGGATAAATCAGGCGGAGAAGCTGGCCGCAAGAGTCGGCGGAGGATCATTCCAGGGGTCTCGGCCAGGAAGCTCGCCGCTGGCCTGTGGCGCCTCCATATGCCGGAGTTTCAGATTCATACCAGCCAAAGGGTAGGAGGGTTTCAGGTACATTTCCTTGGCGGACATTTTAATTTGTTCCTTCTAGCTCTAATTTCGAAGTCTTCTTAATGTATGTGAATCTTGTATGTGAATCTTGTTAGACTTTCCTTTTAGTTATTATGAATTAGTATTATCTGTGGGGTGGGGGATTTGAACTGCAGTGATACTATGCTTGATTTTGTGTTCCAGTGCAAATGGAGTTAGAACATAGTGAATTAATTGCAGGCGAATCTGAGATTTATTAAATACCCGTGTTCGTTTCAATTTATGGGTTCATTGCTGAAAAAGCTCAATTTGGGTCCTGATATTTTGCATTTGCCTTAATGTTCTGCTAATTTATTTGAAGTGTGTGACAATATATAGAACTTGGGACCATCTTTTTTAAGATGAGCTTGTATTGCGTCTTCCCGACAGTTGGCTTCATGAAACGGGTTCTTGTTTTTGGGACCATCTTTTTTTAGACGAGCTTGTTTTGCATCTTCCCAACAGTTGGCTTCATGAAATGGGTTCTTGTTATAGATCTGCCCCTCGTAAATACATTATGAGAGCTACTTAAAGAACATTAATTCTTCTGTTATGCTGGCATACTTTTTTTTTTTTT